TCGTAATTACATGTCAATATCTCGGTTTTTTATTCAAAGCTATCCGCGAAAACTTTAAAAAAAAAAAAAGGTACTACGAAATATTCTTGCCATTGTTCCGACCCTACAACACCCCAAATATCGACTTCAAAGATCTCGGATGAATAGAGTATGTCCACAGCATTACTGCTGAACATTTTAGTCAACCTACTAGTCAAGAGTGTTTATTTGAAAGCCTCTTATAAGTTTAAGAGTGCTAATGCTTTTTAATGAAGGTTAGATGGATAACTGCCTCCAGGACGTTAAAAAAGTTTGTGGTGGTAGTGTAATGATATGGAAAATGGTATTATAAGAAAGTAAGATTGATTTGCTTTGAATTCAATGGACTTTGATGGAAAAAGGTACTCTAACCATGTTCTACCTACACATAACCATTCTATTTTGCAGCATCCTAGATCCGTATTGCAATCTCACAATACACAGCCACATATGGCTCGTTTGACACACCTTTTCTTGCAAAGAAACAACAACCTGTTTCAGTCACAGTCATCTAAATCGCTAGATTTAATCCACATTAAGCAGAATTGGACAAAATGGATTGACATGATTTGCCAAAGACAATCGCATCACCAGACTCTGCAACAGCTGACTTAAGTTCTACATTTGGAGTGGGAGAGTATTCCCATACAGTTTTTATTACACACATTTGCTTCCATTAGATGCCGTTTGTGGCTATCATTTGTGTCTGTGGGGGGTATACCAGATATTGATCTTTAATGGTCTTTAACTGACTATAATTTTAAAGTTATTGAGAAATAATGACATTTAGATAGTATTTCTGTTGCTTACCACATTTCTGTTTTATCAATGCACCATTTTACTAAATAATCTTTATGTTCAATGTGTCACTAAAATTCTACAATGCGTTTCTTTTTTTGAGGAGTATATATCCAGCGAAACCTGTCAATAGTAATAGTTATGTCAAGGAACCAGAATACACAGCGTTACATGTAAAATGGTTTGTACCTTTAGGTGTTGCACTCGACAGTTTGTACATGTACGCTTAAACAATTTAATAAATATACTGGTTAATAATCATTACCATTCCAGACCAGAGTTTGGCAAAATGATTCATTTTGATTGACTTTTTTTCATTCAAAAACAGACTTTTTGAATGTAAATATATGCAGAAGAATACTAATATTGTTATTATTTTATGGGTGGATTTCAAAGCGACGACATTGCTACAAATAGTAATTTCCAGTAAAAATTGTTTTGCAAGTTCCTGAATTGAATGATCAAAGACTGAAGTTATTCGCTTATTTTATGGGTATTTTAACAAGAGGAATATAACATCGGTTAAAAAATAAACCTCTTGGGAGACTGGAATACAGGTTGAGTAGACAATTGTTTGAGGTAGTCTCATGGAGCTGTCACGTATGTTATACACTGGGGATAGCAAGAAAAACAAGAGGCCCACGGGCCTTATAGGTCACCTGAGTATTGTGTAACACCTTTCAAACAATTAAATTTGGTTCATGTTTAAACCAGAGGCCATGAAATTCACAATTTACAATTTTGAAAGAGGCACCATTGCTTATCATAATTATTAACTTAGCATGCTTACTCTATTTACTTAATACCCAGAGGTAGATCAGAGTAACAAAGAGAAAATGCACTTCCACTTTATAACCAGTTGTGCACCTCACCCCAAAGGAACCACTGACCCAGGGCCATATATTTCAAAATTTTCAAATTTTATCATAAAATGGTTGATTAATACCAAAGAGCAGATTTCAAAGCATTAATTTATTTTCAGGCTATGTAACCCTCCCCCCCCACCCCCACCCCTTGACCCTGGGGGCATTAAAAACCAATTTGCTAGATGCACCTTTCTTCATCATAAATATATACACACTTGGATCATTGGCTTAAAACCCAGAAGCAAAGAAAAAGATTTTCAAAGAATAATTGCATTTTCACTATATAATCAATAGAGCCCCACCCTAACACCAGAACCCCTGATCCTGGGGCCGTAAAATTCACAATTTTGGAAGAGGCACTCTTGCTCATCATAATTATGTGCTTAGTTAGTGTATTTACTACCCAGGAGCAGAGAAGAAGATTTTCAAAGAAATAATGCATTTTCACTATATTATCTAAAGAGCCCCGCCCTTACACCAGAACCCCTGACCCTGGGGCTATAAAATTCACAATTTTGGAAGAGGCACTCTTGCTCATCATAACTATGTGCTTAGTTAGTGTATTTAATATCCAGGAGCAGAGAAGAAGATTTTCAAAGAAATAATACATTTTCACTATATAATCTATAGAGCCCCGCCCTAACACCAGAACCCCTGACCCTGGGGCCATAAAATTCTCAAATCTGGAAGAGGCACTCTTGCTCATCATAACTATGTGCTTAGTTAGTGTATTTAATATCCAGGAGCAGAGAAGATTTTCAAAGAAATAATGCATTTTCACTATATAATAATAGAGCCCTGCCCTAGCACTAGAACCCCTGACCCTGGGGCCATGAATTTAACAATTTTGGTAGAGGACTCAATGCTCATTACATTCATGCCAATAGTTTGCCTGCTTGATGTCCAGGAGTAAAGAAGAAGATTTTTAAAGGTTTCATTAATTTTAGTGGTTTTGGCCCCACCCCTCAGGCCCCAGGGGGGCGGGGACCATAAAATTCACAATTTTTGTTCCCCTCCACCCATAGATGCTGTATACCAAATTTGGTTGAAATTGGTTCAGTGGTTGCAGAGAAGAAGCTGAAAATGTTCAAATGTTAACACACGACGCACGACGGACGACGACGGACGAAAACGGATAGCAATAGGTCACCTGAGTTACTCAGGTGACCTAAAAATGAAAAAAAAAAAACTATGAATAAGACAGGCAAAAATATACATTCTGTCATAACAGGAAAAAAAATCATATTTCGCCGGAGGGTTGTGTATAGAGTGTTCACACTTGTATTCATTAACTATGCTACAATAAATACAAGTAAGGCAGACTCACTGCAACCGTTCTATAAACATTTCAATGGTAAAAGGCTATGTTTGAGAAAATGCCTCCTCTGTACCCCGAAACTACGAGCATATGGAGTTCGGGGTCTCATAGAAATCTAAAAAAAAAAGATAAATGTAATGAAAGTTAGTCGTAAAGATTCCTTGGGTATAGTGACATTATATTATTATACTTAATTAATTAAATAAAATTCGCCTGAAGTTCAATGAATAAAAATACTTAATTATATAAAAAAAAAACAATATATCTTAATGCATTAAAATTTTTATCGATTAGGAAACAGTAGTAAAAAACCTTGGGCCTGGTTGAATTTAAAGATTTGTGACAAGAAAACAAGATATTTGACAGTAAGCGTAGTTTACAACTTACCGCTATCTGATCGTACTTCGTAACCCTGTCTTTATCGGAGAACTTGTCAATTACCGTATCAAATTTTATAAATAGCAGGTAGATCGCCCATGATTTATATTACATTTTTACCCTTTGCAGAAAAAAGGTCAAATTCATTTTTGTTAAATACATTTTTTAATGTTAACTTTACACTAGAAAAATGAAATAATTTTAAAACGTTATCTAAATTAATTGTCTAAAATTCTTTCTTTAAATAAAAAAAAATGCGAAATCAAATTTTCCTTAAGATTTATTGGGGGGGGGGGGGGGGGGATTCACAAATGAAGCTATAATACCTGTTGTTTTAAAATGCAATCATTTCATATTCAATTGAGTCCAGGTAATGAAAGCCATCGAAAAGTATATGTAAGGATTAATATATTTCTGTACCACCAATCATTCAATTTTGTTATGAATATTCTTGTTAAATTAAAGTGATTATGCAATGCAAATAATTTGTTCATTCATATCTTTGTTAGGAAACTAAATGCATGTCAGGGATAATTTATCTTTTGAAATTAAGAAAGATTTATTAGACAATTTTGATTGATGTTGCTAAACATTCCATTTTAACGATAATTTTCGCAAAACTATATCTTTGTATTTCGTTCATTTTTATTTGATTTATTATTTTAACGTTATAATACAGATATCTTTTATTTGCACAAATTAACACTTATTACATACATATTTTGTCTCTTTTGAAATATCCTTTGACAACATTTTCTTTAAATGTAGGACTGTACATTGTACGCGTAGGAAATATTCTGGCTATAAAATATTTCCTTCAATAAAAATAATGATTCAGACATTTTCTAACACCTCGGATAAGCTCTGTAACTAAGTACGAAGTTATTTCCAATAACATATCTTAAGATGTTAATCACGCTTGTATTTGTGTGGAGTTAGTACTTTAATGAGACTGAGGAGAAGATAGGGCAGCGAGAAACTCAAACATTGAGCACATACATTTTCAATGCTTTTAACCATGTAACTATGTAAATATAAAAATACTTTATAAAAAGCTTTGTGTGAGTCATTGGTGTGTGCATTGCATATACTTGCCACAAAGGCATTTTTTTTAAATAAAGTAATTAGAATTATTTTCTTTTCATAAATTGAAATTTTTAAATTGTTAAGTTGTTGGAGTTGAATCTTTGAATTAAAAACAAGTAGCTTTTAATTCCGATTGTGATAAGAAGTATTTTTGGAAATAAACGCTCATTTAAGTGTCACATACCGTATATTAATTACAAGAATGTTATACATCACGATTTTTACATACATATATGTAATATTATATTGGCATTCTGCCTCAAAGGCAAAGGTGACTAACATAGATAAAAAATATAAATAACAATATAAAAAAATAATAATGCACGCTAACAAAAGAAAATAAGACTACTTGACTTCAAAAATAAATTTATTAGTAGAACACATTTTCCACACGTCTAAGTTTGTACACTATTGTTTAAACAAAGGCTAAAAATTTGGTAGAAGAACGCATTTTCCATGATTCAAATTTTATACAATTGAGAACCACCATATTTTTTACTGTAATATCAATGTACTCTACAGAACAATTTTTTTTCTTTTTTATTTTTACTAATCGGATGGAAAATTACAATTCTGGTTCATCCTTTATTTTTAAGGATAATTTAAGCATTAAGGTATACCTTGTTCTTTTCAAATATTTTTCATGTTTGAAAACAGCTTTTAAACCTCATTTGTCATGCAATATCTGATTATATCTTCGACAAAGTCAGATCATTGACATGTTTAATTACCCAAAAACCAGCTTTAAATAAGATTTTCAGTTTATTTAGAAGACCAGTATGTGGTGAGGTGGTATAGGTCTAGCGCTATTCGAGGATTAGAAAAAAGTCTACCATGGATTTTCGCACGATTATTTTTCATTATATAGCTGCTCTGGTTCTTATTTTTCTCATTTTAACATCAGGTAAGTGTATGCATTTAAATTGAAATTAAAATATGAAATATGAAATATGAAATTAAAACGAATGAAAATGCTGCTTCTCTTTACATGGTTACGGGTTTTTATAATAATTATTTATTCGTTGTAAATTGGTTTTAAAATAGATTAGATTTAGAATTCATATAAAATGATACACCACTAATAATTAAGAATACTTCTTTCATGAATAAAAATAATGAAATATTTGGATGAACAATATTAACACATCACATTAGAAAGAACATTTGTATTAATTGAGTTTTAAAAGAAAAATATATTAGTGCGAGAAAAATTTCCCAGTCAGTATTTTTTTTTATGTTCTCAGAACATAAAGAATGATGGCTTTATCGTACAAATTTGTCTGAAAAAGGTTAAATACTGTATAGTTTAGGGATATTTTTTCCGCACATTTAAAATGACATATATTTCTTTTTATTGCATTGAATAAAAGGATATAGATATATAAATCGGCAAGCGAAAAATAATTTATTTACTCTGTGTGACAGTTTTTTTCGGGCATATGACAAATCTATTATTAAATGTTTATATGTTTCATAAATGTTTATATGTTTCATAAATGTTTATATGTTTCATAAAAGTTTATATTCATAAAAACAACAAATATACTTCAGTAACAGAGAGCGCATGCGTTCAGACAACACAAGCACCAACGACGCAAGCTCCAACTACAACACCATTTATACCAGTACCATAAAAGAAACATGGAGATAATGGCGTATGGTAAAATTTATGTGTTTCTTTTTTTGTTTTCAGTTCATTTTATGTTTTACGTAATTCTAAAAACACCTTTAAGATATTTTTTGAAGACAAACACAGAAAACTTTTGGAGGATTTAAAAAAAATGTTTTTATCAAACAAAATTTTTCAAGTAAATTTGTCAATTACAGATGACACTAAAAATCCTATAGAAAATCAAAATACATATCAAATATTAATGATTATGCAATTTAATTCTGAATCTAAATGTGTCATTTAAAGAAGTTATTATTATTTCAGAAAACACCATTTTGGATGTCAAAGATGCTTGCGTGAAAGAAATGTCATCTATGATGTGCAAACAATAAAAAAAAATAAAATAATGAACTTCAGTGAGTGGTCTTTTTCTTTCAAAGGTTTGACTAATCGACCATTTAGTTAACTTATTAATTATGGCAGCGAATTTATACCTGATGCATTATTTATAAAATGTGCATGTAAAACGATAACCAATGTTTATTCGATTTCTTTTCTGAATTACGAAGTCTTTATTCTTTGAAAATATAATGCGCACCAAACTTTATCTCCCCAATGTATAATATATGAATGCTTAATGAGCAGGATATTATATATATACATGTGCCACAAACTTTTTCTTTTTAATACCCATCTCTTCCACATTTTACGGAAAACTCTACCAATTTTATCTTTTACAGTTTCTCCACTCTAGATTTATATGCTGCCCTTGACAATTGAAGAAATAATTAATTATCCTGTATACTCAACCCTTCAATAGACAATATCAGAGTGCATTACAGTAATGATATACAAGTAGATCGATAGATAGAGCGCACGGCGTCGTATCATAGAGCTGTTTTCAATTAGCATCAGTTTGGCTACTGCAGTAAGCATCTGCAGTGTCCGTCCATTGTTTCTGAGTTGAGAGGAAATTTTATCTATACTCAGGTCTGGTTGTTTGCTTTACTTTTATGTTTGATAAGAAAAATTGATTGGAATCATTTTATTCTCCTTAAACTCCATTTTGTAAAAATGTTGAAAGCAATACCAATTCATTTAAAAACAATTTAATTGAAAGATGATGTATTTTGTAGAACTTACATGCACAATTCGTAGATTTTTCTATTTTTCTCCGGAAAATTAGTGTAAAATTTGAAGATCTGAATATATTTTTTAAATGCATTACATTGAGTATATAGAACTGATACTGGCACAATAAACTTTTTTGGGAAAAAATCATTTGTATATAGATTTGGTAGCATCATATCCATACAAGAAATATGAAGACAGTCATCATCTGCGTTTTAATTATTTTTGGACTTCTTAGGTAGGTTTTATAACCAGATAAAATTTATAATTCTCTCATTTTTTTGAGTTGAAGAGTCAAACAAAAACAATGAACTGAAATCAGATTCTTTTTATAAATATAATCTAAAATCTATAAATTTAAGAAGTTTTCGATTATTAACAACTTTTATATATATATGTATATATTTATTTATATATTCATCATTTATTCATAAAGAACTTCATATCTTTATCTTAGAGTATCCAATGCGGAGTGCGAGAGAGACGAGGAATGCGAATTCGAGTGAGTACTTTCTAAAAAAAATTTTCCTTACTGGCTCTACTACAATTTTCTCAGGAATCTTTCTTTAAAAATGGTGATATTGCATATCGTACTCTTGGGGATTTATTGTTTTGCCTGCCGCATGATCCAGTAGGATTTTGTTTCTTAATTATATAAGTAAGATTTTTCAAGTTTCTGTAAAGCATGCAAAATTTATATCTGATTTTCTGATGTAATTATTCTTGTTTTATTTATTTGGACCGATAATTTTATAGTTTGAAATATAATAGAAACATATAATTATGTATAACTGAACATAATACATGCGTTTTACAATTTATTTAACGATGCACGATACACCAAAAATAAAGACGTCGATAAATCGATGTTTTTACATTTGCTTCAAGATGAATAAGCCATTATAATTTCATTTCCTTTTTCCTAGGTTTTAAATGAATTTCAAGTTTTGCATGTATTTTTTAATACTTTAAAACTGTGAATTTAAGTGTAGGAACCCATATTCTGCCATTCTAGATGATGCTGATCTACTATACATAGCTAATTCGATATGATTTTTTTTCCTGACTTTAATGTCAGAGTAAAATTATTATTTAAGAGCATTTTTTATCTACATGTACCTCATTAACATATTTTGTAGGAAACTGAAAAGAAACATTCTTATATTTACCGGTGCCATCCTTGGATTTGCAATACTTGTAGGTCTCTCAACATATGTTGTGTACAGACTGCGTACCAGAAAATAAACACATACAAGTAAGTTTTTGCCTACTGGGTAACATACTTTAAAATAAGTCATCTTCGTGTGGGTTCAATTTTTGTTTCTTTCGTGGTATTGAAGGACCTACTAATTCAAGTCTCAACAAAATGTTAAAAGTTCATACATACACAACTAAACATCCACTCATCCACTGAATTAAGTCAAAACGAATCGTGTTTTTCCTCAAACCAAAAATTTGAATCTTAATTTTACGAAAACAACTGGCGAGAAGAACACTTTTCAACAAAAATTATTTTTCAGATGTTAAGATATATATTATTCACACAGACACTCATATACTCCTCCTCCTTCTTTCTCTCTCACTATCACACAAACACACCCAGAGAAAAAAAAGTGTGATATTGTAGTTTGTTTATCTTTTCTAACTCAATCATTTTTAGAAAAGTTTTAAAAAGAACATAGACAGACATATTCTGGTCAGATAATCATATACCTATATTAATTCATTGAGCTTGAGAGACTACAAAAAAAAGAGAAACGGAAAGATTTAAAATTACATATCAATACTACAACAACATCTTTAAAGTACAT